CCTACAATTAACTCCTATAATATGAAACACCAAAGGTAACCCTGAACTCTAAACCGAAAACCCCAAAAAAAATCCTGAACCCTATACATCCCTGCAACCCCCCTATCACCCGTATCTATTCCATTGTTCAAGCTCTTTCCGTTTGATTCCTCTCTCTAGTCGCCTAGACACGTCTCGGAAAGTATTCCGAGGACTAGCTATGCTGCCCACTAATAGTGCCCATAGTGGCCCCAAAGGACAAAAAGGATAATGGTAATCATGCCCCGGCACCTATATATTCTGAGTATATTCATAGGGGGGTTACCCTATTCTGGACCCATTGGGACGATAGTCCCAATCCTCATATTACAGTGTGCATGACTGATTTTGCCATCACGTGTAAATGTTCAACCCATCTTGTTCTAAGCTCATCAGCGTGACAAGCAACACCCGAAGACAGGCAGTCCACACCACACATACTGCACATACAGTTGAGCCAAACACGCCCCGACAGAAAAATTCAGGCCAGTGAGCAAGCACCATTGAAATCAGGGTTTGCTCATGCGTCCCCAATAAATATTATCCAGCTTTTGAGAAACACCCGCTTATTTCCTCTAATTTGCCACAGTCACAGGAATCACAGGAAGGCCATAGATGCGGGGGGGCTCCTCACTCCTCATCCTGAACCTTAATGCCAAATCCAATCATAGACACCAAAAGCTGAACCCTAGAGGGATACATAGGGTTGATATAGGTATATACAGGGTTTATATGGGGATACCTAAAGAAGGAGATCGCAACCACGAGGAAACTGTACAGTAGAGGCTTCCTCTCCCTGCCCCCGCAAGGTGCAAAGCTCGGGTCCGTTGTTCGGATCCCCTTACGGAGTGAGAGCAGCATGTCTCAATGCAAGTCACCATTGCGTGGATTTACAAGAGCTAAGCAATGCCTCGTCATCAACCAACAAGTTTTGCAAGTGATTAACTGCCACTGAACAAGGTTTGTGGGAATAAGTGTATGCGTCTCAGCTTTGAACCCACTTACTCTTTCTCATCTTCGCGCAGAACCCTCACCATAAAGTCAAGTCGGATAGAATCCGCTTTTACAGGTATGCAGGGAGCAAATCGCGAGCTGGTGGGAAAGGTCAATGACTGACTCTGAAAGATCGGGTTGTCGTTAAGGAACTTCATCTAAGTAACAGTTGGGGGAAACTCCCCTATTCACTATGTATCCAAACAACGGTAACTTGCTTTAAATTCCTGAACACCAACTCAAACACTCTTCATCCTCATATAACCCTTTCTGTCCATTTGTAAGTTACATAAACCTACATGTCCTTATAGCCCTTTCAAAGGGAACCTCTCCTTGACCCCTAAGACTATCAGATCCTCACGACGAGACATGCCCACGTGGCTTGCGGTTGGGCTGCTACCAAGGCGGCTGATACCTGGCTCCGGTACACATGGATTCAGGCCCCTTCAGAGGGGTTGTACGGGGTTATATAGGGATATATGGCGATATATAGGCTTATGTAAGAGGGACCTTTCGGTAT